CAAAGCTTGTTTCACTAATCATCACATCAGAGACTGTGAGTGAATCGTCTGCGAGGAAGAAACTTGTCTCCATAATATGATCTTCCACGTGATTACTGATGTTGTTGATCTTCATCCATGAATCTGCAATACAAGCCTGCAGGCTAAGGAACAAAGTCATCGTCAGAATCACAAACAGCTGCATTTTGGAGATGCATTTCTTCTTCATTTTCTTTATATATCGATGATCAATTGAACTCTCTCTCTCTCTCTCTCTCCTCTCTCTCTCTCTCTCTCTCTGTGAGAAGACTAATTAGTTACTCACTTTGCTTCTCAGTGAACTTACAAAGACATCTCTTTATAGAAGTGATGGAAACAGTATCTTCTTCTTCTTTTTGGTAAGGGATGGAAACAGCATAGTTGTTAACTGTGAAAGATGAAGTATTGTGGAGGACCAACTAGTAGAAACTCAGTTTTTTTGCATTTACACGTAGTTGAACTTAGAAACTTGTATTTAAGTAGCTATAACTCTTTACTAAATCAAACAATGCGTGTTGGTGGTATGCTGGTCTAGTTAGAAGAACTAATAATAATTTAATATATTTTAAAGTTAAATTATGAATATCTTTTTTATTTTTTTTAAGGAAAACATAATTTTAAATCGTTGTACTTTGCTTTCATTTTGAAACTTGTATTTAAATGCTGGGACTCGAGTCATCCATTGCCCGTTTGATTGATAAGAATCTATGAGGCCCTGTTTGATTTTGATTTTTATTTTAAAAAAATATTTTGTAATAAAGGTTTTCAAATTTTTTTAAAACAAAACAAATGAAATTTAACTTAGTTATATTAATTTAAAAACATTTTTAAAATAAAAAACAAGTTGCCAAGGATGATAGTTTATGATAAAAATTGATCAAGATAACTATATTTTTTAATAATAAAATATAGTGTGTTTTGATAACAAGAAAAAAAATGGAAAACAACTTTAAGATTTTTTATTTTTTATTTTTAAAAATAAAAATGAGAACAATTTTAAAAATAATTAAATCCAAAATATGTATTCAAATGAGTTTTTTTAACCTTTTTTATTTTTAAAAATAAAATTTTTTTAAAAACAGAAACCAAAATAGGCTCTAATATTCACACTAATTTGAGTATTTATATATATATATATATATATATTCAGTTTAAAACATTATAAAAGGTTTTATAAAATTATTAAAATTATAGAGATCTATATTTTTTAAAGTCAATATATTTGTTCAAGTTATAGAGTTGTGTTGTCCATGAGTGGCTTATTTCAAGCTCTATCCGAATATATATATTTGGAGTCTATTCTAGTTGATACAAATTTCTTCTAAACCAACAAGCAAGGAGGTGTCTAAAATTTTGTATTTTATTCCCTCCATCTCTATTTAAATGTATTATAGTTGCAATCAATTTTATGAGGTTTGAGGATGCATCAACATTTCTTAATAAAAACTTATTGCAATTAATGAAGAGATGCCAAAATATATAGAATAATATTTGAAGGGCACCCGGACGAGTTCAAATTCAAATCATTTCAATTAAATTAAAATAAAGAAAATATTACAATAAATAAAATTAAAGTATATACATATATGTATGGTGGTTTATATATCATTTACTTGATTCATTGATTGATTGATGTTTGATCATTTATTAATGCAAATCTCTCTCACTCCCTCTCTTTAACTCTCTACCTTGTTTGGTGCTCTTTAAGTGGGATTGTTGAATTCATTTTGGTGCACCAATACAAGTTTTGGAAGCCACGTGTTCATATTTGATTTGTAATTGGATCATACAAACACATTTTAATTTGTGCCTAGATTAGAGGCAACAATAACATGGATCCAAAATGCAAGTGGGCTAGTGCTATATATGTCTATGCATGAATTTGTACCATCTAAATATTTTAGAAATTAATTTCATATAATTGACCTTGCATATGGTTTTAATTAATTACTTAAATTATTAATCAATCCAGCATATGTCAAAATACAAGCACCACAAGTGTTGACATAAGGCAGTTATGAGTATGACATCATAAAATTGGTTTGATAAATGTCATTACTCATTACTGATTGTGTATCACTTCTAACCACATATGGAAACTAACGAGATGTGCTGTTTATTTAAAATTAAAAAATAATTTTTATATAGTTTAGAGATTTTACAAAAATTTGTTTATTTTGTAGAAATTTTATAAAAAATAGAGGCATTATTTTATGCTTGGTTATAATAATAATAATAATAATAATAATAATAGTAATAGTATAGTAATAGTAATAATCATAATAATAAAAGTGATTATTAGATAATTCTTTTATTTTTTGTCAAGATTTGCTAATTATTTTTAATTTTTATAGTATAATTACATAATTATTTTTATATTTTATAATATCTTTCTTAATTTATATTTTATAAAAATAATTTATTATTTAATTATTTTAAAATTTTCTGATACCTTCATATATCTCTCTTTTTAAAAATATTTTCTCTTATCTACCACATTAGATTATTTTTATAAACTGCTCAAAATAATTTTTTAAAATAATCAAAAATTCTTTTTTTTTTTATATTTTGATTATTTTCAAAATTTTAAATAAAAAAATCACAAAATAATTTTTTTAAAAAATAATTATTTCATAAAATAAATTGAAACAAATGAGATCATAAATTATTAATGTTATCTCAAAAAGGAAAAAAAATTCTTAGTTTATCTTTATTAAATGTATGATATTTAAAAACACTTTTTCTCTCATGTATTACTTTTACTCAACTCATAAAAATTGCAAAAACATACAATTGGAGGAAAATAATCAATCATCCATATTTTTATGTGAAGTGACTTATAAAAAAACCACCAAATTTTTTATAAGATGATTTATTTATAAGATTGGAGAGAGTAATGCGGTATAACTTGAAAAAGCTTATGATATGTTTGAATTTATACCAAATCCCTCATTTAGATGCACAAAAATTTATGAATTTGGATTTGATTTAAATCTAAATGCATTTGAAATTATACTATAATTTTAAATTCTCTTTATACTCTAGTCATGTAAAATTTTAATCACTTAAATATTTTGTTCTCTTCACAATTTTATATTAATTCCTCTATGACTCTTATATCTTTTTTCATATATTGTCTATTAAAAAGTAAAAATAAACTCATCGTATCTAATTTTTTATTTTCATTTCAAATCTCAATTTAGCTTTTTTTTATTTAAAATTTTTTAAACTATCCAAATAAAAGATTTTAAATACATGGATTTGAATATGATATTTGAAATGCAAAATTTCAAATTTTAAATCCAAATCTAGATCAATCAATCCAAATACTACCTTATACTCCATTTGGTCCTATATAGAAGGAAGTATTTAGAAGCATGACCAAATTTTGATGTTGAAAAATCTTGCTATATTCAAATTATTATAATGTGATTAGTATTATATGTTGATAATCCTAATTTTGCAAATACAAAAATGTAGAACGATCCAAGATATTTGAATTTTTTTTCCTAATTAGGGATTTTTGGTTCCTTCTTCTCATCTTGATGCACCTAGCATGATAATAATAGATGTCTGCATCTCCACCTTTAATCCTCTCACTCTCACACATGTTTCTTTCTTTCTTTCTTTCTTACCTTTGCACCCAATATCCTAAAGCATTTGGGTATGTTGGATTCATTGTCCATCCAATTCACTCTAGACTAATTCGGATCCCCACTTAGGTAGGGCCCACCTTGAGGGAGTTTCTCGAGTACCATTAGCAAGACATGCTTTGCATGCTCAGCTGCGCTGCTGCATATTTTGAGACTCAAACACGAGGCTCTATGTTAAGTTGGTCAGGTCCCTAGCCACTAAGACAATAGCTTCTTGGTCACATATGTTTATTCTCTTCAAGATAAGAAGGCTAATTCTCTTAACATAAAGTCCAATCTTTCAATATGGGTTTTATGAAGATTGGTCCTTTAAAGCCCAAAAGAATAAAACTCACAAACGCGAAGCCCAATAAATGCAAAACCCAATTATATTAGTCGGAGGCTTGGTGCTACCCAACGTTTATGTATCTATAATAAGGATTTAATCATCTGGGCTTGAAACAAACTCATAATTAACTTTCATTAAATAAAATTTTAATAAAATTAAGCATGATTTAATATAGTCATAGCCCACATGAAAAATTCAACATATTTTATGTAATTACCCTATATTCAACATATTTTATGTAATACCATAAAGTCAAACTCATACACTATCAAATCCATTTTATTTAAAGTGACTTTTCCAATATGCTGTTTCCGCGAGTTGCAATAATGAGAGCAGTCCGAATTCTCCATGTTCATAAAAATGGATGTACATGGTGTATTAGGAGAAAAATTTTAAAAAAATTGAATGCGTGTAATTTTCAAATATAAGTCATTTTATTGCCTTTCTCTAAAAATACATGAATGCAAAAACAATAACAATCCGGACTAAGATAAGAGGCTGAACCTTGTCTTGATTGAGTTTACCAAAAGGTGTTGTTGACTGTCGAGCATCAAACTTTACAGTACAAATAAAAACTGCACGGTCTAAATTAAATATGATTTTACTTTTACATTTTCAATAACCTTTTATTTGAAAAGACGAAGAAAAATCAATAAAAAGATAATATTTTAACCGGTCAATCTATTAAAATTGAAAAGAAAAATATTTATTTAAAAATTGCTTGTTAAAAATCTTAAATAAAAACCATCCAGATCTAATTTGATCAATCCAAATCCCACCATTCCGATCACTCTGCTCATTTCTCTTCACTGTATCCCATTCCTTCACAACTCATCTTTTTAATAATCAAACGAGGCTTAAATTTTTATACTCAACTCCTTGTAAGTTTTAGACTTAGTTGTTCTTAGTTAGACCCTCGAAAAAACAATTTCCACTGGTGCTAGATGTAACGGAGTTATTGACCACGTTAACAGAAATAATAATGGAATAAGTGCTCCTAATAGATCAAGAGTCATGAGGTTTTATTTAGTAGAGTCAATTGTCGAGCTTTTCTATCTAGACAATCCAAAAAGCAAGTAATAAAAAGTGTTCATCATTCAATCATGTGAGATGGTACCAAACCTAGGATTCTCAGACATGAATCCTAAATTCCAGTTAAAAGTGATCATACCAGGTTGTCCTTTAGGTCCCACCTTCATTTCTTGAGGCAGACCCAAAGGATGCCTCGGATGGGGCCCACGAAAAGTTGCCCCAACACCACGTATCAGGAGACTGTAGGAACAGTTGGCACACATGAAAATGCAAAACAGTTTAGGAATATAAACTGAAACGGATAGATGCTCTTAGCAAAAATATAAACAAGACAAAGGAAAAATCAAGAGGCATGAACATTAGATCATTTTATTCCAGAGTGACCATCTTTTCCAAACCAGAAAATGAAATGTACATTTTATCTGGATCTCTATCTAGCATGGCAAAAATGAACCACCCACCCAATCCTGCTTTCCGTCGCCTGTAGAAACAGAATAAAATTAATGGTAAAAAAGGCCAAGAAAGCTAACTCGCTTCAGTTCTGAGCCTCTTAAGAGCTTGTTCAGAATCCTCACTGCAGTAGTCAACTCCTGAACATGGCACTGCCGGATTGTTCACAAATTGGTTCTCATGATCCTGAACAAACAACATTGCCCATTATCAAGATGAATTTAGAGGGGAAAAAAAATATTAAGCAACACGAGATCTGCATCCTTACTACTGATAACAATGAAAACACAATGAGGCCATGTGATCCATATCATAGGTGTAGTAATGATGTGGATATGCATGGGAAGCTTTTCCATCTTTCTGTCCTTTTTCATAAATTATCTAAAGTGACAGCTACTAACTGAATACCGCAGGCGTAGTAATGATGTGGCAGGAAATTCTCAAATATTCCAATTGTTTTGACGAACCTTTGAGCTAGATGTGGAGGCAATTGATCGTCTCCCTAGATCAATTTGTACTGAAACGTTGGCCTCAGATAAATCCACACCTGAAGACCGCAGTGCGTGCACAAAAGTATCCAATATTCTGTTGAGCACAAAAAACCCACTCAACAACGATGTGAGTGAAATCTGGCTCCATGAAATGCTTAAGGTAACCCTTTAATGTGCCAAAAAGAACTTTTGCAAAAGAGTAACCAACATACCAATTACTTTAGTCAACAGCAAAAAGAAGCCTAATGGAACCTACATGCTTTGTAATCACCAAATCCCTAATAATTCATATTAGGTCACATTCCAAGAATCTTAATCCATAAACATTCATACAAATAGACCTCGACAAGATTCAATGAACTAAATATGCACATCCAATGCCAGCTTCTAGAACAGTAATAGCCATTAATCCACAGGGTAGAAGTTCTTCCACACTTGTTCACTGATTATGTGTGTTTTAGTTTAACAATAACTCTTGGGAATATAATGAAGAACTAATGTAAAGTCGGAAGAGAAACTCACCCCTGAGAATAGGCTCTTGAGATGCTGACTGACTCACTTTCAAATGCTAGCTCATCCTGTTCCTTCAATGTATTATTTGGAAAATCATATGCACCCTCCTCAGGTCCCCCAAGACACACCTGAGGCTGAGTATGGGAAGGCGTGTTCTCAGAGTTAGATATTGCTTCATGAAAATGCTGGGTTGGAATGCCACTGCTCACAGCCGCATCAAACATGTCCAACCGCATTTGCATACCCAAGGGAACTGCTTCAGAAGCTAAACCAGGGGGGGCAGCCTTCTGAATAATTGTCGGTGACAAGTCAGATTCAATTGCATTCTGTGCATTTAAGGGCAGCGATGGAGAGAGATCATTGTTCTCATGACCAGAACCATTTTGCATAGCCTGAGATGTGACATTTTCTGTAGGTCCACGATGATTTCTCTGATACAAAAGTTGAGAGTTCAAACAAGATTTAGAGTAATTGTCTATATTAATAGTCATCAGCACCTGGTCATAAAAATTATCACAATGAACACTTTATCATCCCTATTAATGGATGACAGAAATAACAAGCTATGGAAAGGAAAGAAAAATATAGGAGAAAACGAGAGAATGATTGAGATTGAAATATTTTATTGTGGTTGTATTTCTATTACTGTTCTTCCTAGCAATAAGGTGTTGCCGTATAATCTCAATTGACAAGCACGTCTTAATGTTGTTAAACTGCACAATCAATTCCATGAACTCCCAATAATGACCTTAACTTGAAAGGGGAATCACTTTGGAAACTGAGAGGGCTCACATTTGGAGGACCACATTGAGAACGAGAATATGTTTTGAGAGCCAAAATGTAAAAAAAATAGTCTTTAAAATATATATAATGTCCTATTTAAAAAATATATCACAGTGTATATTCATTTCAATCAACTCACAAGTAGGGGTGTTCACAAGATGGGACAGGACTGGGACACCCCTGTCCAGTGTCAAAATGTAAAAAATTAGTCTTTAAAATATATATAATGTACTATTTAAAAAAATATATCACACTGTATATTCATTTCAATCGACTCACAACACAAGAAGCTGAATTGCATCTTACATCAAATGCACTGAAAGCTTAAATAGGCTAGCTGAAATATAAGATTAAAATACAGCCACGATGAATAGGAAGACTTGACCATGCAAGCCGACAGTATGGCAGCCCCCTCTTTTTATGCTTATAATACTTTGGGACAGAGATCAAATACAAATTCAACTCCTATAGCTAATGTAGATACTAATGTGATGGCCATAAAACTTGTAGACAATAATAAACTCCTATGCTTCTAAATAGTAGTAGTAGAATAGTAGAAAACAATTACAACCCATTAACTCTACCACATAATTTGTGAGCCTTATCTTTCAATAATTGATTAGTTTCTCAACAAGAATTATCCCTATGGCCTCTAAACAGCATATCCAGTACAGCCAATTAAAAAACCGTGCAATAATGATATAAATATTATAAACATGTATGAATTTCACATTTAAGGGGGGAAGGGAAAGAAAATCTTGTTGACACACAATATGAAAAGTTTCTTCAAGTTGGCCCATGAATAATAGTTTCAAGCAACCTTAGGCAAAATTGGCCATCTATATAAGGTGCAGTACATGTTCAGGGTTCATCCTTCCTTATACCCTTGACTTCTAAGATGCATGGGAATCTGTAAATCTTTGTAATAAATATAGTTCCAAAATTGAAAAGCCATATGGCTGACTTACAACAGTCTTCCGTATTTAAAAGTGACTCTGACGTACCCTTGAGAAGCATTCTGCCCAGTCAACAAAACTCCTAGAATTTTGTGTATATATCAGTATCACACCCCCAGGGCACTCTCTAAGACAAATGTCAATACATAAGGGGATCTACTGTCTCCAAGATTTGAAAAGGTAAGAAAATCTAAGATAATCAAAGAAAGGAGACATAATAATGCAATTGCCAAAACATTCCATGAAACAAGTGCAAAATGCAGACACACAGGTACATGCATGCACAACATCATTCCAAAGAATTTTACCCAGGGAATTAATTTCATTGGCTCCTGATTCCACCCTTGGTAAGATTGCTCATACATTTGTAATTTCTCCTGTAAAAATTGAATATACTCAATAACCTGCATGAAGAAAAACCAAATTCCTTGATTTAGTTCATCAAAACAGTATCATATGATTATAAGAAATTCATAACTGAATGAAATACCTCCAGCAAGAAAGAAGCCTTATCCCTTTTCTGATCATTTTGAGGAATGAGATCTCTCAGGATCTGAAATCTGGCTTACAAATATAACTATTTTCAGGTATGGAAATGAGAACTCTCATTGCTATTGACAAGTTAATCATCAATCTCATATCAAAATAGCCCATGAAACATTCAAAGGGAATTTTTAAACATAAGAGTGTCATCAGGTAGCTTAGAAAACGTGGTTGATATTCACATTTAAATTGTCAACTACTTAGAAGCAATCTTTGATAGGAAAAATCAAAAACCCATCACGTGAAAAATATAGTGAAAATGTGAAGAGTTCAGCTACACAATTTTCAGCAAATAATGCATTTTATTCCTCAAATCTTGCTGAAGGAAATGATGGTAAAAAATGCCTTCCAACAGTAAAATTAGAACATTGTGTTGTACAAAACTAAATTGAAATGATGCCTTCTATTTTAACTATCATGCAGAATCAGCAGCTAGAAAAGTGTCAAACAAAAGTCAGAAGCTAATAATTGACCTCTGGATAACTAGACTTCAAACTTCAGTACTGATATAAGCACCCACTAATACACAAATAGCGGTATTCTCTTCTTTCATTAGTTGGTAAGTTTGAGTATAATCCCAGCCTAAGATCCTCTTTCAATGTTTATCATATGGGATATGGCAACAGTAGCTGACCAGTGCCAACAACCATACCATACCCAACACCTGGAAACTCAACATCAAGGATGCATGGATGAGTTGACAAGTCTGCTTTAATCATTAATCCAATTAACTGCATCTCTGTCAACTATAAACCAGTTGGTATAGCCACTACACAGAGAATTGCGAGGGCAAATGCAAAGTATGAACGTATCGTCACTGGAAAATGGTTTTCATAATAATTTAAAGTCATTTTCCCTGTAACTGTGGGTAACATACGTTTGCACCACTGGCCACTGCTAACAATCCCAATAGAGGAAATAAAACAAACCCGAACGATAATTGCTAAAAGCCACACGGGGAAAAAATGTTATCACGTAGCTTCACAAATGCATTAGTCAGACACGAATGTAGTGACACGCATCAGTATAAGTTAAGGCATGAACACAAAAATACAGATATTAACGAAGCATAGTTTACTAGTCAACCATAGCTAGTCATTTAGCTTGCCTTTCATTTATCTTGCTCCTCCTTCGCTGCTCAGTTTCTGAATGCTTGGAACGATGTGCGTTAACCCGCTGCTCTCTAGTCGCTTCATCCACCTTCACTGCCGGTCAAGACATGATTATCAAATCCCAGCATCCAATTTAGAAAATTTCCCGTAACCGGACCCTTTACTACATAACCCAATTCCCATAATAAAATAAAAAGTGGGGAATACGTAGAAAAGCAAAGCATCAGGGAGGCAAACCTTTGAGTGAAGAAGAACCATTTCTGGTCAGGTGATCTTCGTCGTCGTCTTCTTCCAATTCTTGTTGCTGACCTCTCGCAGACCGAGCCATCTTCTCCGCTCCACCCGACAGAGAAAGGATTGGAAACCAAAGAGTTCTCGCGAGACAAGCAAAATTCAGGAACAGAGGGAGTGTGCAGACAGAAATGGAGAAGGAGGAGAATTTGGGAGGAGATTTCGCCGGCAATGGGGGGGCTCCGACGGGTTGACGAGTCTCGTTTGTTTTATGTACAGTTGGGAAGGACAGAAGCAGAGAAAGCCCTAAGATGACGATGCATTGAGGATGCAATTTGTCGATTGTACGAAGTGGCGGGCGCTAACGTGCGCTCTCTAAGTGGGGCATAGTTTCCTGCGCACTGGTTTCCCCCCTCCCTCCGAGGGAATTTCATCTGGTAATCTGATAAATATTTTCAAGTCACGCTAAATACAATCTAAAATTTCGCTGCAGCGTGTTGAGCCTTAATTGAAATAATATTATAAAATAAAACAATCAGAATGTCCATATTCCAATAACATGCTGTAGCAAAACAAGTAACAAAGAGAAATTACAAGAAAAATAGTACATTTAATAAGTAATGTAGTTGATTTTATAAGTTATGCTAATAGCTTAACAAGTACTTCTTCCATTCAAAAATATAAAGCTTTTTTTAAAGAGTTAATGTTTAAAAGTGTAAAGTATTTTTAGTCTTTTGAGGTGTAATCTTTGCTTTTTTTTCAAAAGTCTTCCTATTAATAATGACTTTATATTTATTGTAAGGTATTTAATGGGGGTAAATATAAAAAAATAGAGTTAGTTGAAAAGTAGGTAACTACTTTATTAGAGGGTGAAATTCGATTAAAAATGCCTTATATTTTTTAATGGAGGGAGTAACAAATTTAACTTATTACATAGACTTTACAAGTAAATTTATAAAATTAACAAGTAATATAAAGAAATGAACATGTAAAGTTAAGAAATTAACAAGCCTTTTTAAGGATTAGTTATCATTCTTTTTTTGCTGGAAAGGAGTTTTATTAATCAAACCTGAATAAATACATCATTACACAAACTAAAGTCAATAGATAGAAGACGTAAAAAAAGAGGAGGTGGTTTAGAAACCCAACCCTTAGGGCACACCCCCTTATGACATTCTTTAACTATCCAATCACTAGCTAAATTAGCAAACCTAAGGATCCAAGAGATGGACCAAGTATAATTATTTGTAAAGAAACCTCTAATATCAGCAAATGAACAGTAAAAGACCATTCAAGATAAGGGGGGACAAAATTGATTACATCAATTAAGATTTAATAATCAGACTCAAAAATAACTTCTTGGAATCCATAAGAGGCAGCGAGATGAAGAGCTTTAGCCAATGCAGAGGCTTCGCTCTCAAAAGGAGAAATGGCACTAATTTTTTCACCTGCAATAACAATCAAATTACCTAAATGGTTTCTAAAAATAATACCCAATCCAGCAATGTTAGAGGAAGAAGAGAACGAAGCATCTAAGTTGCATTTAAGGACCCTGACATTAGGAGGTTTCCAATTTTCATTCCTAGTAGCCTCAGTATGATGGCTGTGATCAAGTGATTTAGCACCAAGCCAACCATTAATTTTCCAATATTTATAAAGGGCATCATTAGCATCTTTGGAAGTTTCCAGGGGGCGAAGGGGTGCATTATTAAAGATTGTAGCACCTACCTTTCTAGATACACTAGCAAGTAAAGGCAAAGAGAGCAATTTGCCAGTCATCAGTGTCTTCAGCAGTACAAAAGTCAAGCAGCTAGTGATCAAAACAAGAAACATTAGAAGCATGAAAGAGAAGATCCAAGGAGCTAGAAAAACGTACCTTGTTTGACCATTCATAAAGGAGCGAGAGGTGTTCATATGTTTCAGGGATAGAGTTGCGACACTTACAAAGTGGGTCGGGTCTGCAGTAATGCTTCCACAAGTTTTCATTGGATGGTAAAGCATTGTTAAGGAGTTGCCATAGGAAGTGCTTGACTTTGTTAGGAACTTTGAGGTGCCATAGGATTTTCTAGATGTGATCATGGAGGTGAAAAGAGGGTCCAAGTTTATATGAAGTAACAAGTTGCTCAAGTGTAAGGTAGCCTGCCTTGACATTATAGATTATGTTCTTGGCACCAAGCCAATAGGGTGTGTCTCTAGTATGTCTGGAAGAGAGTGGTATTTTGAGAATAGCTTGCCTTTCTTCAACAGTAAACTATTCCTCTAGCATAGAAAGATCCCGTGAACCATTGGTTATAAGCATTTCTACTCTGAATTCTTTTGCATCATCCACAGGTGACGAAGAGGAGAGCTTGTAATATGCCAAATTAGGAATCCAAGGATCTCCCCATATGTGGATGTTAGATGTATTATTGATAGACCAACGGATCTTGTTGAGCAAGAAAGCACATCCAACAAGTAAACTATTCCAGGCTCAGGATGGTTTAACACCTCTTGTGGTATTAAGTAAGGATGTTTTTAGGTAGTAGATATGTAAGATCTCCTTTACTTAATCATAATTAACTCCGAGATCAAGGTAATCTAGGGACTAGCCTCAAAGAATTACCAAAGGTGTAAAATTACATAAAAGAAGATTTTTCAAATTATATACATTTAAAATCCTCAAAGTTCAAATTCAAATCTCAAAGAACACTTATTATACTCGAATCAGAATTTGAAAATTGTGTGGAAACTTGAAAAACAAATGAGACCCAAAACCATGAATTTTAAAACTCAAAAATGAATTTTGTGTAGAAAACAACACGTGCGCCATAGCTTGTGACATGTGCACCGCGACTCACCTTCTGTGTCATGTGTCGCGGTGCATTGCACGAATTTGACAGCATCAGTGCTATCATTTGACAGCACAGGGAGTCAACTTTCGATGCATTTCAAAACTCCGTCCAACGTCTGATTAAGGTGGTTTTGGTGTCTACACGGAGCTTTCTCCTAACTCTAGCTAATAGCATCAGTTTCAAATTCAAATTCTTTTTCTATAAAAAGTTGCACACCAAAAGCCATATTTACCACTTTTCTCAAAATTTCACAAATATGGTGTCCCAACTCAACCACAAGTATCAAAAGCCTACACCAATCATCTGACCACTCAATAGACTCAAGCAGACCCGTGCAACGCACCACACACTATCAAAAACATGTATATCATAAAATCATCACTCAATCTCAATTTTCACAAAACGCAAGGAGGAGGAAATTGTTGTACAAAATCATTATTTTCATTCCAATTCTTTCAAAATACACATGTTCCTACTTGCACAAGTATTTTAGCCCTATCCACGAGTTTATAACTAAAACTCACTAACCTGAGGTACAAAATATATAAATTGTATGCTATAATAATGCAAGTAGTATAAAAACAATAACATGTTATCCTAGTTGGCAATTACATTAACATATACACATAAAAATAATAAGAAAGGCATATAGAAAGGATTACTTCACAATCCTAAACCTTTGTATGTTTTCCCTGACTCAAATCTAGTGAGCTAGATTTTGAAATATTGAGAATTGAGAGGTGAATACAATCACTCAGTAATCAAGTTTCACTTAACCTATACAATTGCACATCAATTGTAGATAGATGCAATTAGGCTAAAAAAATACAACAATAACACATATAAGGAGCTTAGCCACGGCTCATAAAACTAACAATCATGTGACTGGGCTTGAAAACACATATATATCCATTTTTAAATCACAAAGCACAATATAGGGTCACAATACTACCAACCATGTGCCCTTACACATGCCAGACCACAATACTAATAATCATATGGCCAAATTTATATGCATGATCATATGCCAACCTTATATCCTTCTGTTAGCTCCAACATGAAACTGGTGGCTATCACGTGGCTATGTCCTTAACGAACTAACCCAACTTTTCACTTGTGAGGAGCTACCGAGCTAAGATCAACTCACTCACTTATGTAATCCTGTTTTTCTTAATACTAATAACCATAGGGTGTCGTACCCCTAATATAGCCTCCTTATGAACTGATAGAGATTAGTTAGATTCGAGTCCCTCATAGAACAAATAGTACAGTCTCGAATCAATTATAGGACAAAGGCTACCTCCTGATTCCAACGGTTGGCGCTAAGGCAAGTTCTCAATTCTAATGGTTACTACCAGTATCACATGGATTTAAACCAATTTACTCCTCCTCCTAAGCAAACTCCTGCCAATGATCATGCTATGCACATTCCTCACATAATATGCATTTCAAACAATTAATTCATGGTAAATAATTCCACATACTCATATTCACTTAATCCACATAATCGACACATGTCAAATCACAATTATCCACCCACAATAATAAACCATAATCAAGCTTACAAATCATAAGGGTGGAAAAATCAAGGTTTTCTTTTTCAAAACCATTTTGCAAGTCAAACATATTGCCAATATGCATCATTAGTTTAAATCATTAACCACATTTCACAAACATAATTAACATTTAACTATAAAAATTAAGTTTCTCCCTATTACCTCAAACTTTTAAGAGGTCAAAGGTTTACCCTTCACACAAAACACTTTCAAAGCTTCTCCCAAGCTTGAATGGTGTCAAAATCAAGCCTTACTACATCCATATCACAAGGATATCATTATTGAATTTTACCAACATAATCTCCACACACACTATTCTATCAACTCATAAATCACTACCCATTCATACCCAATGGGCTCTTTAGGTTTCATTAATACACATTATCATTAATAACTCTTTAAACCTCCATTAATGGACATAAACCTCTCCCAACCACCATATTTATGTCAATTTTTGGGTATTTACTACCCCTATGGACCTATCACCTCAACAATCATCAATATGGTGTTCCAATACCTTAAATAACTCCTATTATATTTGTTTTAATCAATGAAAATGGACCCATAATCTTGTAGACCGAAAATCAATCTTTCAACTCAAACCTTATCATAAATCATCGTAAATGAGGGAGAGAAAGGAAGAAGAGGGCTTAAATTACTTACCTTATGTGTTTGGGAGCTTCAATCTATCCACCAAAGGTCTAAATATGCATGCCCTAGCAGAGCTTCAATGTGCTCTTCGGTTTCTCCTTTTCTCTTCTCTGTTTTCGCACGCAGATATGCATCTGATTTATCAAATTTTGGCCGTGCGCCACAGCGCACATTGCCCTCCACTATGGTGCATAGCACAGAAAGGTCATTGTATTCAAATATACTCCTATGCATCGCGGCATATTGACCACACACCGCAACATGTGACACAGAGGGCAACCCTTCACCTTTTCTTCCTCTTTCTTTGCCCAGGTAGCTTGCCTTTGATCCGAACCCACTTTTAGGGCTAAAATCGCAACA